AGGGAGAGAGAGGGAGAGGGAGGGAGAGGGAGGGAGAGGGAGGGAGGGCGAGCATGAAAGGATGGCAGTAGCAGAGATACCCAAGCTCTGCCCATCTCCCACGTAAGTGTAGGCTGAGGTCCTTGATTTAGCTGTGATCCTAAGAGGACCTGGCTAATCTACAAGGCTGGCTGGTGGGAAAGAGCAGATGGAGGAGGGCTCTGGAAAAGGCAGACTGAACCTCAGGCTGAGGCTGGCAGGCAAAGGCGGGGTTGGAAAGGGGGAGTCGTCTTGTTAAGGAGACAGGGGTGCCAAGAGGGACGGCAGCCAGCCCACACCCACCAGCCCCAGAGCCCAAGGAGCCCGTTCCATACCTGTGGGATCGCACAGAAGTTGAACACGCTCTGGTTCCGGAGCCGGGACAGGTAGGTGATGACGTCAGGGATGTGGTGCAGCGTATTGGTTATGAGCTCGTTGAGGCACTGCACGGCCACATCCATGTTCTCCGGCTTAGCAAAGTCCCCCAGCTTCTTGACGTACCTGCCCCAGATCTGGCCGGATGCAAGTGAGAGGAGTCACCACCGCACAATGTGAAGGCCACACTCAGCCATCTTGTTGGGGTGGGGGCTCAGTGGTGCTTATCCGCACACAAGAGAGCCTCCGGGTTTGATCTCCAGCATCAAAAACAGGAGCTTTGTCTACTGTGCAACAGTCTCCTTGCTGCCAACCAGATCCACTTCCTCTGAGCTCCAGGCAGTACCCACTCGTTATTGCCATGGCGAGACACCGAGGAGGCCCTCACCACCCATCAGGGCAGCAAGCACCAAGCGTCACGGTGACCTCAGGCAGTCAGGAGGCCCGACACAAACCCAGCTCTAAAATCAGCACTCTCGAGATGGCCAGGCCTCAAAATAACGATTAACACTGCAGTCTCCACTGATAAGCGAGCTGCCAAACAAGCACATTTGGGGAAAGCAAGCGTCCACACCCCAAGAGCATGGCATCCCCTGCACGTTAACTTGAAATAAAGTAACATCCCTGGTTCCAACAGGACGATTGGTTTGATTTTTTTTTAATTGAACCCAGGGCCTCTGCCCCACATTACACCTCAGGCCTCTTTCTAAAATGTTTTGAGACAGGGTCTTTCTAGGTTGCCCAGGCTGGACTCGAACTTACTTCCCTGCTCTGCAGGAACTGGCTTCATTTCCCCAACTCTGGCTTTGCTGACTGCATCCCTGTGCTGCCAGTGAACACGGAATTCCCATAAGCTTGCGGGTCAGCAAGAACTCCTCACTGATCTATGCACTGTTCCTAAGCCAGGTTTCCTCTCACCGCCACCTCACTGGTGTCCCACTGCCCTTGGCACTGAGGCACGTAGCTGAGCAGCGACCCTGCCAGCAGCACCAGTGCCCATTTCTCCACAGTCTTTGCCAACAGGGCTGTGTGACCCAAGAAATGCTGTCTGCAGACCTCCTCTGCTTTTCCGAGCCATCTGAATCGATGCTGCCCGAGCACCCTGCGCTAAAGTCCACATCAAACTAAGAGCACAGTGCAGGCAGGCAGGTGCCACCTCGCACCCACAGCTCCTGTGGCACCTGAGAGGCAGTGTGGGGCCGGGGCAGCCATGGCCAGGGCAAGCAGCCACTGCCTCCTCCTGGATGCCCTCGGATGAGCACCCGGCCCTCTCCACATCCTGGTGCCCCCAAAGGCAGGCAGGTGAGAGCTGACCAAGGTGAGTCCCCTGCCCAGCTGTGCGGCCGAGCGAGCACGGAGCCCCAGCCTCTCCCACTGGTCCTCAGTGAGGCCTAAGGTCCGACGTGCGTCTGACACTCACAGCCCCGGACTCTGTCATCAGTTTTCAGTCTGAAGCTACTTTCCCCTCAATACCCCACACCTGTTACCTCCTGAGGCCAGAACTCTCTTCCTTCTTGCTGGTCTTCCAGATAATCACGGATGATGTTCGTTTTCTGCAGAAACAGGCCCATAGAGTTGGCCCGCTCCGTGTCTTCACCGACCACAGGGTCTTCGAATTCTGAGGCTGAGAACAGCCGGGAAAGGCCAATTCCCACCAGCCCGGCGACATAGTGGCAGTACTGTAAAGGGTTATTTGAAAAGTGCTTTAATGATGACATTTTCACTGAAATGAAAACGCTGGAAATAACTAGCTACACAAAAGGGTAGTTTCTCCAGCCCAAATGCCCATCAACCAATGAATGGATGAAGAAGGTCTGGGTTTTTATACAATGGAGCACTACTCTGCCCTAAAGAAGGACACACTTGAGACATTCTAGGTAAATGGATGCACCGAGACCGTATTCTCTAAGTGAAATAAATCAGACACAAGTGTATAAATAGCACATTGTCTCTCTGGTGTGAGAAACTCAAAAGATAAATAAGGGCCAAAATGTATAACAGATATTAGGACATAGGCAGAACATGTTTAAATGAGAAGAACAAGGGAGGGGAGGGGAAAGGGAAGAAGGGAAAAGAAGAGTGGAAAGAAAAAATGGAAACAAAATCATGTAAATAGGAGGAAGAGGAGTTGGAGGGAGATCCAGATGCAGCGTGTACACGTACAGATTCCCGACGATGAATGTGACCATCATGTTCATGCAAAATGTACCAAAATTAATTTCTTTTAAAAAAGGGCAGCTTCCAAACAATGTACAAGATCTCATTTTCATCGAAAAGCACAACTACCCACAAACGTCACTGTAAGGGCCGCCCACTAAAGCTCTCACAGCTGCGACCTCTGGCTGAAGGAAACGAACCACAGCCGTGCTCTGGCGCCGTGTTCCGCACTCTGCAGTCCAGTCCCACAAACACCTCATCAGGCACCTACTAGCATCAGCTGCAGCTCACAGACGAGCAACGGAGGCACAAAGCAATCACCGAACTCGCCCAAGATCACTCATTTGAGGAGTACAGGGTGGGGTCCCAAAGCAGGTGCTCGGGCCTAAGGGTCAGGATTTAAGGAACTTCGCTCCCTGCGCTCTCTTCTCTGCGCTCATAAGAGATTCTGGTAAATGCAGCTCACTCTTAACCAAGAACGTCATTCTGAATTGACAAAGACTCTCATTTCCTCATAGCAGTTGGTCCACTTATGCTACCTGAAAAGGATATTCTAAGTCAGGAGTGGCGAACCCACGGCACGCGTGTTATTTTTAAGATGAAAGATGTTGATGTGTGAGTTGTTCTTCCTAAACTAAACTGTTAGTGTTCAGGTTTCACTGCAGTGCCGGCACTTCGTGATAAGTAAGTGGGTTCTGAGCTGCAGTCTGGCCTCTCATCTCTGAAAGGTTCACCACCCCTTTTCCAAAACAACTACTGTCGCGAGCCGCGACGTCAGGATCCTGCCAGCAGGTCCTAAACCTGAAAGGATGAGGACAGAGAGACGGGAGGGCACCTTTCTTCTTCAGTTGCTTGCTTTATTACTGAACCTCTTCCTTTTATACTCTCCAGCTGCACGGGAGCGAGGGCTGCACGGGAGCGAGGGAGCGAGGGTACCGCCCACACATTCCAGAGGGAAACAATAACGACCATTATGGGTTACATCTGCTACCAGCTGAACTCGCCTGTGGCTATGGGCGAGAGCACCTCCGTGCCTGTGTCAAGGCTCACCATAATGGCTCGCCATAATTCCCCCATCTTTCTTTGATAGCATGAAGAATGCTATCAACTCATCAGCCAAGGAACCTCTGTCTTAGGCGGCAGAAGTCTTCCATCTCCTTACCCGTCATCAGTCGCAGGGCTCATGTCCCAATACGACCTGTCTTAGGTTGGTAGACAGAAGCTTCCGTCCTTACCCGTCACTGAGTATCCCAAGGCGGGGGATCTAAGCATGCCAAGCCTGAGCCAAGTAAATGGCTACACACGTTGTATCATCATCCAAAGAAGCTTGTACAGCCATGGCTGAACGCTCTTAAACTGGGAACGCTTCCAGCATTGATATGAGCAGTAACCCAAAATACACAAACCAATCATAATAGCAATAACAATAAGCCATATAACAATCCAAAAAGGTGAAAACATCTTTTTCAAATTTTCCCAAACTTCTGTAGCAAAATCTAAATCAAGCCGGATAGAATTGGCATGAACACCAGACAAGACCTCAATGTCCAATGACAACTGATTAGTTGTAGTTAGAAATGTCCGA